AACACTCTATCTATGATTTATGAGTGTAACGTGTAGGTACAAAACCTCCTGATTGACCCTCAAGTGACTGACTTTTGTTGAAAACTAATATTCTTGACAACGGTATATATTGATGTAACAGACTTTGAAACCTTGGTTGTAGTAAATAACAACTAAATCGGACTGGGGAAAGGCAAACTAACCTATTATCATGGGCAAGCCACAACAGCGATACAAATATTAACAACTGCTAAAAGGCAAGCATATTTTAATTCTGAGAAAATATTAAATAAAACCTGCTGTTAGACTACATGTTAACGATAGCTAGACTGAGAAAGGTGTGGGAGTATGTTAAAACTGTATGGGAAACTCTAGGAAATGTGAATACATGTTTTGGTAGCAATTGTTCCTCCAGGACACAAATACATCATCAAGATATGAATATCAAAAGTCCCCTATACCTTGTAGATAAAAAAAACTAAACCTAAAGGCTAAACCTTGTAGATATCCTAAAAACTCTGTAATCACAGGCTATGGAACCTTATAAGTGGATAATAATAAATGAGTTAGTATTGGTAAAAATATGTTTGTTTTAGCCAAGAAACCCTTATGAACCTGAAAAATTAAATACCCATGTCTATTTATTTATGTACCTTTTCCAAGCTACAACTAATAATGTAATTCATGTTTATTGATTAATAGAGGGGTTTCTATTACTTTCATCCTATTTATCATTGGTGTTCTGAAGACTATTGTCTTACACATTATCTTATAGCATTTGTACCCGAATGTTCCATATGGCTCTCAGCTATGAATGTAATGCGACACCTGTTGTCTATGCCTCTTTTAAGTTATTGCTATTTTGAAAAATATTTAATGTTAAGCAATAGTTTTAATGGAGATGTATTTTAGATTGACATGAAATAGATATACCTGAAGTTCTAAGTAAAACCCCTTTTACTGTTATTGAGGTTCTACCGTACTCTGAATAAATAAAAAAAACCCTCTTTTAAAACACAAAAACCATTGATATTCAACATATACTCTAAAGACCGAGGAATGTACAATTCATTCAACGACTAATACAAAGCAAGACAGGGAATAGTTGTTATAAATAAATAACACTGACAACTTATGTCTAGCTAGAGCAATAGTGGTAGGTAAAGCCTATGCAAAAAATTGATCCTCAAATTTGAGGTATTCGTGAAGACAAGAGCATGAGATAAACAATTAGGGCAAATAAACTTATAGCTAAAGCGTGTGTAGGAATGTCTGAAGAAGGATCAGGTATCTTTGAATTTGAAAAGTTCCAGGCACAATTAAAGAAATATAGAAAGTCGCCGCTTTTGCATGTGTGTACTTTTGCAATGCTTGCCATGTCCCATATGATCACAAAGAAGCCCACAGATGTTCAAACAGCTGTTCATCTTGTCATACCTTCTCACCTTCTTGTGTGGAGGAAAATGGTGGGATATATTTCAGCTATTGTAACTGTTTTTTTTTTTCAAAATAAAAATGAACGGTGCTTTATTGCCCATTAAGGACAAATTTGTAAAACAATTAAGTTATGACGAGGGTGTGAAAAAATGATATTCCCAACTAAACGTAAATCAACTCATGTGTGTGGAGAGGTATATTGTCATCCTTGTGGTACATTTAAAGATCCTAATCATAAATGCTACATTCAGATAGACAAGAAAAACCCTAAAGTCCGTGACTATATATTTATTTTCTTTGATCTGGAAACACGCCAGGAAAAGAAGAAAGGTTACTTCCCACATAATTTTGATTTATTATTGTATTGAATAAATATGGGAAGTAACCTTTCTTCTTTTCAGGTGGTTAGTCAAAAGCTTTTGGTAAGGCAGGCAAAGACAGGGGTAAGTAGCCAAGGGAGTCAATAAATACCTAAGTATAAATTGTAAGTCAAACCCTTGTCCGTTGTGTGCAATTACACAGACGTTTTTTGAAATGTTTACAGGTTTCAATTAAGTTTCCAGTTCATAAACTGCTTAACGGGATTGCTATCAAATATTTTATAACGTTCTGAACAAGATTCACATTCACTCCTATTGATGCATTTGAAACAGAACTGTTGTGAAACACATAAATTTACTTTATGTAACTTAGGCTCGGGATCTGAGGGTATGGAATCATCCTGGCGTGTTTCCAGATCAAAGAAAATAAATATATAGTCACGGACTTTAGGGGTTTTCTTGTCTATCTGAATGTAGCATTTATGATTAGGATCTTTAAATGTACCACAAGGATGACAATATACCTCTCCACACACATGAGTTGATTTACGTTTAGTTGGGAATATCATTTTTTCACACCCTCGTCATAACTTAATTGTTTTACAAATTTGTCCTTAATGGGCAATAAAGCACCGTTCATTTTTATTTTGAAAAAAAAACAGTTACAATAGCTGAAATATATCCCACCATTTTCCTCCACACAAGAAGGTGAGAAGGTATGACAAGATGAACAGCTGTTTGAACATCTGTGGGCTTCTTTGTGATCATATGGGACATGGCAAGCATTGCAAAAGTACACACATGCAAAAGCGGCGACTTTCTATATTTCTTTAATTGTGCCTGGAACTTTTCAAATTCAAAGATACCTGATCCTTCTTCAGACATTCCTACACACGCTTTAGCTATAAGTTTATTTGCCCTAATTGTTTATCTCATGCTCTTGTCTTCACGAATACCTCAAATTTGAGGATCAATTTTTTGCATAGGCTTTACCTACCACTATTGCTCTAGCTAGACATAAGTTGTCAGTGTTATTTATTTATAACAACTATTCCCTGTCTTGCTTTGTATTAGTCGTTGAATGAATTGTACATTCCTCGGTCTTTAGAGTATATGTTGAATATCAATGGTTTTTGTGTTTTAAAAGAGGGTTTTTTTTATTTATTCAGAGTACGGTAGAACCTCAATAACAGTAAAAGGGGTTTTACTTAGAACTTCAGGTATATCTATTTCATGTCAATCTAAAATACATCTCCATTAAAACTATTGCTTAACATTAAATATTTTTCAAAATAGCAATAACTTAAAAGAGGCATAGACAACAGGTGTCGCATTACATTCATAGCTGAGAGCCATATGGAACATTCGGGTACAAATGCTATAAGATAATGTGTAAGACAATAGTCTTCAGAACACCAATGATAAATAGGATGAAAGTAATAGAAACCCCTCTATTAATCAATAAACATGAATTACATTATTAGTTGTAGCTTGGAAAAGGTACATAAATAAATAGACATGGGTATTTAATTTTTCAGGTTCATAAGGGTTTCTTGGCTAAAACAAACATATTTTTACCAATACTAACTCATTTATTATTATCCACTTATAAGGTTCCATAGCCTGTGATTACAGAGTTTTTAGGATATCTACAAGGTTTAGCCTTTAGGTTTAGTTTTTTTTATCTACAAGGTATAGGGGACTTTTGATATTCATATCTTGATGATGTATTTGTGTCCTGGAGGAACAATTGCTACCAAAACATGTATTCACATTTCCTAGAGTTTCCCATACAGTTTTAACATACTCCCACACCTTTCTCAGTCTAGCTATCGTTAACATGTAGTCTAACAGCAGGTTTTATTTAATATTTTCTCAGAATTAAAATATGCTTGCCTTTTAGCAGTTGTTAATATTTGTATCGCTGTTGTGGCTTGCCCATGATAATAGGTTAGTTTGCCTTTCCTCAGTCCGATTTAGTTGTTATTTACTACAACCAAGGTTTCAAAGTCTGTTACATCAATATATACCGTTGTCAAGAATATTAGTTTTCAACAAAAGTCAGTCACTTGAGGGTCAATCAGGAGGTTTTGTACCTACACGTTACACTCATAAATCATAGATAGAGTGTTATCACAGACAACTGCACGATTTACCATCATAGGATAACACTACGGGTAGCAGTGATAACGTTACCTTTGTACCTTGGAATGTTTATTAAGTATTAAATATAGGCTAAAATTTGATTTCTCACTCAATACAACACTAGTTTCCTGTTTTTGAGTCTTTAACACCTTAAGTGTAAAACCATTATGGTAAACTTGTATTATTTACAGAATAGTGCTATAATCATCCTCCATAACTAGAGGCTCTTATGGGGAATAGATTTAAGTAGGAGTTTGACCTCCTCTCCTCATACGTTTTTGAATGTACCACCCTATCAAGATGCAGAGTTGTTGTTGGGGTTAACCATCTGTAATGACGATTTTAGTTGTCCATTATATTTTTGTTTTAGTTTACAAGATTTCCACCAGGTTGCATCTCTTCTATATCATCTTTATACAGGTAGTTTGATCCTCAAAGAGTTACATTACATTTGAAATAATTCTTCCGTTATACCATCCATTATTAGTAGAATGATATATCTTAACGTTTGTTACATAATGTAGCTTTGTATTGGATAGGGTTTGAGACTATCCCCTCATTAAGTGAGGCCAGGTTAAGCGTTTATAGCCAGTCCAGATTACCTGGTAGTTGCTATAAACGCCCTCTCCCTTACTTTAACAAAGCTTTTTTTTTTGTCAAGTCTATAGATTTAGTTATGTAATCCAGCCAAAGTTAGTTCAAGGTTAACATTCATAGTCTGTGTCTATCATAGGAAACCAGTGTTTTATGGTTTTTAGGCCAACCCAGCATCCACTCCTGGACTTACAACGGCTTAGCCCAGCCTTTGAGCAGGTGACAGTACACTAAACCGTTCCAAGGAGTAGCTTAGGTTCTTCTAAATCTAAACTCCTCAATTTACTAGGTTTTGTGCCTATCATAGGAAACCAGCGTTTTATGGTTTTTAGGCCAACCCATCATCCGCTGTAGGACTTACAACGGCTAAGCCCAGCCTTGAAGTAGGTGACAGTACACAAACATTTACACTTTGGTCTTACGGTAATACATAAGTATTTATCTATAGACTTGTTTATTTTTATTAGGAGAGTTATATACAAAGGAATTTACAAAGTTATTTACAATGAAAAGCTACAAAGTTATTTACAAGTCTCTTTGGACTTTTCTAAAACCAAAAGGTAGAGTGTCATACTCTCCTTCATACCTTCTTTTTGGGCCAGTGATCCTAAACACTTTGCTCTCTGCAATCGTAACGACGTCTCTATCTTTTGTTTTTCTGATTCTACTTTCTTCAATTTCAATTGACTGTTTTACTTCACTTAGGACCATTTCTCTCAGTTTTTCAAAGTTTACAACTTTTGATGTTTTAAAGTTGAGGGTGAGGCCCTTGATTTTACAAACTGGGATCAATTTCTGTTGATTGGTTGACCAGACAAGGTACGCATAAGTTTTAGGTCCCCCAGAGACAAGTTCAGTGATGTAGGAACCGGGTCCATAATCTGTCAATTCATCTGTCATTTCACCAAGGTAATCTCCTATAGGGACTCTATACAGACCTTGGCGGTGATAGAATATAACACTATCTGTATCATAATACAATACTTGAGCTCCTAAGGCATCAAGATGTTCATAGAGCTTGAGTCTAGCTTGCGAGGTAGTGTAAGCCACGATACAAACATTTACATTACTGAGAGGCTCCCCAACTTCTTCCAAATACTCCCAGGAAACAACTACAACCTCATCATTGACAGTCTGGAGCCTATTCACTTTAATTTCAGAGGATGAGAACATTTGAAAGAGGGTTTTAGAGTCCCTAACAATTGTAGCTTTAGTCTGGTTCTCCCTCTGGCCAAATTTTCCCCAAAAACTATTTAACATTAATTTTGCCAAAGACCTCAAACCCCCATTCTTAACAATCTTTTCTTTCTCCAGCTTGATTCCCTCATGTCTCAAATACTCTGCAATATATTTATTTTTATCCTCCTCAGTCTTACACCACTCTGGATAGCCCGAAGCTTCCTGTTTCATCTTAAGAAATGTATTAATAAAATCAGTGAACAAGCCCCTATTTTCATAAGTCGCTACCTGATACTCCCACAATTCATACATGTACAGTACAATATACCCTTTCTCTACAGCTTTCCTAATCTCATCCATAGTCCAAGTCCCAACTAGTGCCCTATTATCACTATCATGATTACACTCCCCTTGGTACATCATTTCCCCACATGTCCTACACAACACAAACATCAATTTATCATTCATTTTTGTAGGGAGTACAGGGTGATAGAGATCATGAGGCGGCAAAACTTTACATTTTAACAACCCCTCTACTTCCATACCTCTCTCACGACACTCCCTATCCCCTACATAGATAGTTGGGTGGCCTACAGGGTACTTCCCATACTTACAAACATATGGATAGAGAGAGCAAACATCAACATATTGAATAGTTTCCCCCTCAGCACATTTGTGATAGGATTTCGCGTTGCCTGTCCTACCTCCAAAAAAAGACTGTCGTGGGTCTAATGGGAGATTGTTCAAGATAGGCAGACTGTCTAGATGATTTAGTTTTTGATCCTTTTTAATCTTACAGAATTCACATTCCCACATCTCTACCAGCGCGTGTTCTGTAAACTTGGCGTTTTTAGCCATAGTTCTCTCATAACGGAGATGAAATAAATCAGAGGGATCTTCCTTCAAGGGGGCGTGACGGTTGTAATTAAAACATTTAGGGCACCCGTGCCAGTAACATCCGTGGAACTCGTATATGTTTCTACCATCAAACCCATCTACCTTCACCCCATTAACTTTGACTTCTTTGCCTCGTCCAGCATGATCAATCCTAATCCCATTGGTTTCCTCAACCCAAGAAAGCCATTGGAGTGCAATTACCGATTGATTGTCTACTAACCGATAACCGTTCTTAGGGATGATGCCAATAGTGTTGGGTTTCAGAAAATTACGGCGGAAAGCTAGATTACAGGCACTCGCAATGGTAACAGCCTCGAGAAATGGGTCAACATTACACTCTTTTAGAAAGATTGAGCGGAACTTTAGACAGGCTTGAGCCAAGATATCAACATCTGACATACAGTATTCCTGCAACTCCTTTTTTAAATTAAATTTATAGTTGTTAGCAATCTGTTCACTATACCATTTGTCAAAGTCATTGTGGGATTTTTCAAACATAGATTCGGGACAATAGTACTCTTTGGGTGGCATAGGACCTACATAGTTTTGGTTTGCCAATGTGTTGAACAAGTGGGGAAAATAACCTTTCTTTTTCTCTGGAGGTAGGTCAAAGGCTTTAGGCAGAGCAGACAGAGCCATAGGGAAGTAGCTAAGTGAGTCCACAAACCTTACATTGTCAATTTTCATTAAGATAATTTTGGTTCCCCTTATTACAAGTTCTGGTGTGAATTTTGTTTCTTCCAACAAGTACTTTAGCAAGAATTGAAAATCAAAACCCTGCCCATTATGTGCAATTACACAGACATTTTTAAACTGTTTCCTCACATACATTACATAGTTCATAAACCGGTTGATAGAGTCAGAGTCAAACACACGTGTACGATTTTTACATGATATACAGAATTTCCCCTCAATACACCGGTAACAAAACTGCTGACAGACACACAAGTTTACTTTATGCAATTTACTTTCAGGATCAGAGGGCAGGGACTCATCCTGGCGGGTTTCCAGATCAAAGAAAATAAAAACATAGTCTTTAGATTTAGGTTTACCCTTATTGGGTTTCATATAACATTTATGGTTAGAATCTTTAAATTCTCCACAAGGCTTACAATACACTTCCCCACACTTGTGAGGCTTGGACCTCTCTTTAAGCCAAACTAGTTTCCCACAATCAAGACATTTCTTTACATTTTTACACTTATCAGTTTTGTGTGCAATGAAACAGTGTTGGTTTTTATAAGTCATGTTACATTTAGGACACAAGATTCCCCCATGCTCCTCTACACAAGGGGGTGAGATGGTCTGACACTGTGGGCAAATATTTGAACAACGATGCTCACCTTTGTGATCATACGGGACATGGCAGGCATCACAAAAGTACACACATGCAAAAGCAGCTGTCAGACTAGTAATTACATTATAGTGACGGTTATGAAACAACAAGTTAATTTTGAACTTGGGATTCTCTACATTTCCCTCAAAGTAAACATCCCTACCTTTAGCATTGTAGTTGTACACAGTGATTTTATAATCTTTAAGCAAGTCCTGGAATTTTTCAAGTTCAGAAATACCTGCTCCACCCTCCGGCATCTCAACTCTAGCTCTACATACAAGTTCTTGAGCTCTAACAGTCTGTCTTTTCTTAGCATCTTGTCTAACAGCTTTGTATTCAAGATCTTTAGTTACATTAGCTATAGCCACTACAATAGCACGAGGAAGACACAAGTTATCTTTGTTATTTATCACAACAATCCCTTTCCTTTCTTTACATTCATCATCAAAGGTATTAAACAAGCCAGGTCTTTTGCGGCCCCCCAATCCTACAGGAAGATTAACTCGAGTACATTCAACTTGAAATGTATCTGTGGACTTGATGAATTCAGAATTACTTTGTACTATACCTCCAAAGATTTGCCACAAAACATCCTCGTTAACTTCATTTGCTGGGCGAAAAGCAACAAACCCCTCTTTACTTTTTAGGTTAAGTGATCGCAAAGTAAATCCCAATTGGTCACCCTCCTCACAAACTTCTTTCATTTCATTGACAATTTGACCAAACCCTTGTCTTAGCCAATCAATCTCACTAGTTTCAACAGGAGGATTAGAAAACTTAAAAACAGTATTAATTCCATGAATTCTAAATTTCTTTACATAGTTCTCATGTTTATCTAAAATATTTACAGGGACAACTACTTCAACAGAATCTTCTACTATATTTACAGGTTCATTAGAATCTACTACAGGTTCATTAGAATCTACTGCTTGAACAGCTAAGCTACTTACGTCGGTCATCTTCAATCACTGAGAGCAAAGTACACTGAGAAAACCACAGGGCACTATATATACGATAGAGAAGGGGTGGGGGTAACCAATCACCTATTTATAACCAATCAGAAGAGAGCTTATTATAGCCAATCAGCATACAGAGATTTATTACCAGAATAATAGTTTTCAAGTTATAACTTGTTTACTACACCAGCTATGATACTAATTATATATTTTTTTAAATGATACAATACCACCATACAAGATGTAGATATTATAAATAAACCATTTTAGCTTTCACAGTTGTTTTCCTTATTTTTTCAACAGAATATCCAAAGTATTAATTTAATAAACCTACATATACAGTACATAAAGTGAGACTATATTACATGGTGGAAACAGTTAGCAGAAAAACAAAATAGCAGAAAACCAGATGACAGTTCCTACATACACAAACAAGGTTATGTTACAGATACGTATGCAATAGAATCTTAACAAGAAGATGAGGTTATATTATTTGGAGGAAACAGTTGATAGGAAAGCCAATGACAGTTCCTACATACACAAGTGAGGTTATGTTACAGATACGTATGCAATACATAAAGTGAGGTTATATTATATGGAGGGAACAGTTGGCAAAAAAGCATACAGCCTACATATACAAGTAAGGTTATGTTACAGATACAATCTTAACAGAAAAAGTCACAGCTGATTAATTTGACAGAAACATATTACACAACCATAAGAAATGTTACTCTCACTGGTAATATTCAAACCCTCAACCCTAGACTCATACACAAACAGTTAACTAAAATACAACATCATACAAAATCATAGTAAACAGAAATAAAATAATCAGTATTTGGTAAGAGTTGAACCCATAACCCCAGGATCTCACACTCAAACAGTTAACTCCCTATACCATACTAAACCCTATAGTGACCAACAATGAGACAAACAATAAATGATAAAAATCAAACCCACAACCTCTGAGGGCATACACAAACAATTAACTACAATACGACATTAAAAATCACCCCAATCAGATATGATACAAACAGTGGCTGGTGAGGATCAAACCCACAAACCTCTGGGATCAAGGACTCACACTACTTCCACTACAATACAACACTATACTAACACTCAAAATATCACCCTGACCAGAAATAAAACATTTAGTGATTAGCTAGGATCAAACCCACAAACCTCTAAGATAAGGAACTCACACTACTCCCACTACAATACAATACCATACCAAAAACACCCTAACCAGAAATAAAACAATCGTTGTCTGGTAAGGATCGGACCCACAACCTCAGGGAACGATGTCTCACACATAAACTCTTAATAAAAAACTAAAACACAAGTTAATACACAAACCGGAAATGAGACAATTGATAACTAGTAGGATTCTAACCTACAAACCTCTGAGATCAAGGACTCACACAACTCCCACTACAATACAACACCATACCAAGAATCAATTCATCACCCCAACCAGAAATAAAACATTTGGTTATTGATAAAGATCAAACCCTCAAACCTCCAGGATCATAGGTTTACATTCTAAACAAGTTAACTACTCCTACTTCAATACTAACACTCAAAATATCACCTTGGCCAGAAGAGAAGCAGTTGGTGATTGATAAGGATCAAACCCATAAACCTCTAGAATCAAAGACCCATACTACTCCCACTACAATACAACACCATACCAAAAATCAATATATCACCCCATCCAAAAATAACACATTTGGTGATTGATAAGGATCAAACCTACAAACCTCTAAAATCAAAAAAGGGCTCACACTACTCCCACTACGATACAACACTATAACAAAAATCAACATATCACCCTGACCAATAAAAATACATTTGGTGATTGCTAAGGATCGAACCCATAAACCTCTAAGATCAAAGAAGGACTCACACTACTCCCACTATAATACAACACTATAACAAAAATCAACATATCACCCTGACCAAAAATGAAGCATTCGGTGATTGCTAAGGATCAAACCCGCGAACCTCTGGCTCTACACATCTTCATACACAACCAACCACTAGAAAAAAAACATAAATTCAAACCTCCCATCATCCCAAAAATACATAACATATATAAAATATAAATTTAACATCCAACATTTGGTGGCCTTTACAAAGGCCATTTTTTATACTCAACAGTAAAGTTCCGCTTAAGCCTTCTTTCAGCTGTTTTTAACATTGGATACATGAATAATCATTTGTTTCACAATTGTTATAGACTAAAGCATATAGATATGTATAAAATAAAATAAAAATATAATGTTTTTTTTACACACCCTATATATGTAATTAAGAAATCAAAGTTGTTATTTACCACTATAAACACCATACCTATAACTGACATCATAGCCCTATAGATAGGGCATTGGAACCACATCTAAGAGAGCGGGGTTCGATACCCGGTCAGGATTCACACTTTTTATCCATTATTAAATAAACAAAAATAGTTTAATAAAAGTACCAACATATAAAAAGGTCACATGATCAACTGATAACTCCTATGTAAACATAAAACTACCCCTAACAACCCCTAACATTCAAACATATATGTATTCACTACCCTTGAGGATTAAACTACCACTCTAGGGGTGGTTTTGGCCTCGATCTGGGGGGATCCTACTTTGGCCATATCCACGGTTATCCTACTTCGGATCATGGGAACGGGCTTTTATGGGATAAAAGTTTTTCTGATTTTTGACCCACAAAATAAAAAATTCCCAATTTCCCTCTAGACCCTTTTAAAGAGCTTAAAAAAATAAATAATTTACTTAGTAGCCTACATGTATCTAAGTTTTTTTTTGTACGGTTAATGGTAACGGATAACATTCAAAAAATTGTAAACTTCGTAAAAATTGTAAAATTGTAATAAATAATTCATGCACGTAAAACATTTAATTGTCAATACCTAATAACAAATCAGCTTCAGCACACTCACAGCACTTTAATTTTCATAATCATAAAACACCTTTTCAAGCAGCTCAAGTCAAAAGTAAATAAACAGTAAAGAATAAACACAAAACAAAACCAAAACCACAATGCACAGTTTGCTTGTAACTGCTGCAACTGTTGAATGAAACAACTATCTAATCAGGACCAATACAGAGTTACAGTGAAGCTATTACACAAATAGCTGTTATCCCAGGAACTGTTCCAAGGACTCCTGTGCATGTGGAAGAGGAGGTGCTCGTGGGTACAGAACGTCGAGTTTGTGTGTGAAGCTGGTTAAATTGAAAAAAGGTTGACTACAAAACAGCTGTAGAGCCAGGTTGACCACAATAGAATAAAATATTCCACTCGGTTGGAGTTGGTTGTATAGTGTGAATGTATATAATAAACTTTTTAGCATTCAAATGTCTAGAAACTATTTACAGTGTATGCACTTGTATTAAGCGCATACTGTTAAAGATGTAATTTAAAGTTGAGACATTTCTTCTGTAGAATGTCCCATGTCTTCACCTCCCTTGGTGAGTCGTGCCAAGTCACATATATGTGATCATATTCCTTTGGTAGAGTTTGAAGGAGTCGAGCACACAAATCGTCTTCATTAATAGGCTTACCGCATGGTGGAAGGAAAAAACATAGGTGTGCTATTCCCACATATTCTGACGTCATTCGGATTGCAAACAAAAGATCACCTGATTGTAACTGTCAAATTAGTATGTATTTGTTTTGATTTGATTGTTATTGTTTTTATAATAATAAAAACAATAACAACCCAATCAAAACAAATACATATAATAATTTGACAGTTACAATCAGGTGATCTTTTGTTTGCAATCCGAGTGACGTCAGAATATGTGGGAATAGCACACCTATGTTTTTTCCTTCCACCATGGGCTTACCGTATATTGTTAATTGGTTTTGGATTTCGTCAAACTTTTCCAGATGACCATTCATTCCAAGGGTAGGTTCCCAAGAAATGTTATGGAACTTATTTCTCAATATGTCAATATTTTCAGTTGACTTGACATCATAAAATGTGGACAAGTTTCTCCCACATCTCTTTTCCTGTAGAGCAATTGCTTACTCTAAGTAGAGGATTCGTCTCAAGGGATAAAACAATATATTTTCTGGCTTTTGCATCATTTTTTGACCAATTTACCAATTTTCGTGTACCTGCTGTTGGTTTTCCGAATTCTCAACTAACAATTCCATAAACTCCTTCACATTCTAAGATTACCTTCATGACTATTTTCCATGTTGTGAAATTCTCAGTCCCTCTTAATTTTTTAATCTGTTTTTCATTACTCATCATTCACTATTCTATTAACTTCTTCTCAATTAATTTACTCTGTTCTGCTACCATGTTGGAAATATCGTCTAAAATAACAAGGCGTCTTGTGGATCTAAAATTAAGTTAATTTAATAGTAAAACTGATAGAATGAAAAACTTAGATTTGTGTATACATCTTATTTCATCAAAATATAACAAACAACTAAACTCTGTTGCCAAGGAAACATCATATGTTCTTTTCTAACATAACTATTATGGACATTATAATATGAATAAATTACATCTTTAACACATACGGTAAAATTATTACTGTGACAAGATTTCATACCAAAACTCTTACACTTTTATATGTATATATCAAGCTTTAAAACCTATTCAACAGTATAAATCATATGTTATTATAATTCTAAGACGATTGAAACTGCTGTAGGCTACTATTAAACAGTTGTATACGTCAGAGAAGATTCAACACTCGTGGTATTTCTCAAGACTGCTGAAATGACAAACTACTGACGTCCTATTACTGCTGACATACGTTCGATTGGACTATAGCCCGTTTCACTTGACTTGGAGGCTGTAAAACCCTTTCTACACCTCAAAAAGCTATTAAACAGCTCTAAAACAGCTTAATAGCCTCTGCAAGCTTGGGCAGAGAACCAAACAGGATAATCATTCTGTTCAGTCCAGTGTCTGGGAAAAGTGATTTATCAAGATGTGTCTTATCTAGTCTCTTCTCTCATCTACGACACTGGACTGAACATACTAATATTATATTTGGTTCATATAATAAACCTCCCCCTATTAAGGCCTAGGCTTCAACCCCTAGCTCCTACAGGTTTCTAGAAGGTTTCTATCGAGTACTGGTCTCTAGGCTTATATTAGGTTTTCCATATAGGTAGCTTCATTTGGCATCAACCTGTAAATTAGGCTATTTAGGCTTAAATTAGGAATTTATTGGGGCCCCTATGGTAAACTCCTTATAGTATCTTTCAACTGTTAAAGGTATTATTCAGGTAGTTGTCTAAACAGGTAATAAGATATTAGAGTGTTTTTTGCCTATTTATTTAGCTTGATAAGTAGTATAATATTTCTTGATAGCTGTCTGTATCCATGTACATGGTAGCTATCTGTATCTATGTACAGACAGTCTTTAATCGTGTAGAGACAATCTGCGTCCATATAAGAGAGTGTAATTGCCAAAAATATTATGAGTTATAAGGTTTTTAAAGGAAAGCTAGTTAAATATAACATGTTCATAGATTGTTAATTAATATAAAGATAAGACACTTTTCAATAAGCTAATAAATTATTCCTCATATGTATCTTTTAAAATGCCAGTTTTTAAAAGGATTTCTGAGTGATTTCAGGTTTTAAAAGTATCAATCCATATAAGCTTTAACTGATACGATGGATAGCAGTTTTTAATTAAGCATAAACCAGTCAATTTTTTGCATTTCCCAAAGAATGAAATAAATGCACATTATTCTTTACAGATGACAGCTTATACATTACAACACAACTCTACTATTCACAATTTATTCATGTCTCCTAATAATACTTTAATTTTTAGATTTTTGTAATTGAGTTTTCAAATTCTTAACTAGTGGGCACTGTGGTTTGCGATATTTAGTGTTGAAGCAGGTAGCAATCAGATAACAGTTCCAAACGTGAGAAAGAAGTAATCATTTATCTTATCTCATGGTCTGAGCCTTGACTGGGTAATATGTAGTTGTGAGGCATATACATTCTTGGTGTTTTATGAATTATAGCGATTAAAACATCCATGAATAAGATTATCTATTAAAAAGTTAAAAAATAAAAGAATATGTTAACACCTTGATTCAAACATTCATTACTAGTTGTGCTAGTGAAGGTTCACCAGTTTACCACCAGGTAGCTCCTATTAGTTGAGCCGATCACCACTAGGTGTGCTACTGATAGTTCATCTACTTCACACAGATAGCACTGTAATCTACTTGATGCTGTGTTATTTTTTGATAAATTGGTATATTTTTTATAACTGTTGTGTTTAAAGTAATAAAGTTTTGGACACTAAGTTTCAATAATTATAACTTGGTGACAAATTATTGTGCAACCAATAAAATCTTGAATTAAACTCAAAGATGAGAAGAAATGGTTAAAATTTAAAATTTTTAATCAATCATCAGGAATTCAAAACACATTTGGAGATGGTATTAGTTTACAACAGTAAACGATTAAACACTTGTGACTGTGGTTTAAGATTTCAAAACAATAGAATGCTTACTGCAAAAATATTTGCTGACCTATGTAGACTATGCCATGATTTGAGATAGTCGGTCTAATTTTCTCAATTGTTAAACTAGTAATGTTTTATCATTCTTGTAGTACAATTAAAGTCTAAAGAGAGTTTATCTATGCAATAAACAAGTTATTAATTCGAAACAGATTGGAATAGCTAGTAGTTTACAAACGATTCGTCACTTGTCTGATTTAAGATTTCACAACAGTAGAATGCTTGATGTGCAAATATTTGCTGATCTGTCTACACCATATGAGATGTCGGTCTAATTCTCTCAATTGTTAGACTAGTAATTTCAAATGTTTTCAAGAGTACAAATTTGTAGTGTTTAACCCATGTTTGTACTACAATTAAAGTGTAAAAATAGTTTATCCATGCAATAATTGCAAAATGTATCAAACTAATCTTTTGGTTCAAACCTATTCTAATCTCTATTAAAGACTCAAATCTTAAAATACTATACTGTTCAGTAAATAAGTGAGCAATGGAATAATAATCCCATATAGCACTGCAACATAGGATATGTAACGGATGCTATTTGTTACCTATCAGATAGATACCTGATACGTATTTGGAACGTGCAAATGTCCGCGGTGAGGATATGTATCTTTAGATACCTTGGATATGTATCTGCAATGTAACAAGAATATGTATCCGCAATGTAACGAGAATATGTATCCGCAATGTAACGAGAATATGTTTTTAATACGTATCTGAATATATATTTATGTACGTAGATGTGATGGAATAAAACCCGGGGCAGTGGAATTATTACCTGGGGGTGGAGCTAGAAGCGGTGGAATGATTTCTTGCACGGCCATGCTGGAGATGTATAACAGAAGTGTAGTTGTAGAGGCCTACCTGGAGGTGATATGAATCTTACCTTAAAAAATTGCTTAATGCAGTGGAATGATTAACCTGGAGCATAGCTGTAGGAGATTAGCTAGGCCCACAGAGGCAACTGTTTGTTGGTCAACATGAAAGTTAATCAGTGACTCGTATGCACTAGACCAATTTATTTGACACAGTGTGGTATACTGTATTTAAATACTCTTTTTCAGTGCTAGTATCTTTTTTAAAATTTTTATCCTACTAACATTTGTAACTAATTTTTTTCAAACCTTTGTAACTAGTCACCACCATTGCATATAATATTCCTGTAGTTATTTAAATTGGATATAATCTTATCATAATACATTAAAAAAATATATATTTAAGTTAAATATTAAAATTATTGTGATTCATAAATTGGTAAAATTAACAATAATTAGACCCAATATCATTAATTATAAACCAAAGATAAAAATGTTGCATCACTATCCAGTTTAAGAAACTTATAGATAAGGAATGCAATAAAAGGTACAAATGTATAAACAATTGATAAAGTAGTTTATTGTTTTTTTAACCCGTCACAACAACATTTTCATCTGCCACAACAACATTTTCATCTGCTACAACATTTTCACCCGCCAGAGCCCTGAAAAAACATCCTAAGTGTAAATCACAGGTTTAACAATGGTGAAATTAGCCTATTATAAAAACAGTTAGACAGCATATCAAATAATATACTCAGCAGAAGATATGTGGCCACTCAAACCTCAGGTTTTTGGCCTCACCAACAACAAGTCTCCATCTTTCCCTATACGTACCCAGCTGATATAAATTTATAATTGAGCTAAAAGGTTTCCGAACAATAGGAATTAACCTTACTGACTAGACTTATATAGTGAATTTTTGTTTGGGGTTCAAAGAATATTCAACTAAGATGAGTAAAATAATACAACCAGCATTATTTTATCTGCCACCTCCCACCCTCCCCATGAAGAGATTCTGTGACGTATAGATCTGTCTAACTCAACTGTGAAATTAAAAAAATCTAAATTAAGTCAAGTGTCAATTAATCCCCTGTTGTTTATATTCATGCGTTGATGGCTATAGGCTACTATTGTGATTGTAGTCATTACTCATTATTATTGTTTTCAAGGGAAATCCCTCCTGATAATTTATTGTATGACGATTAAATATATAGTTTTTATTTTCTATGAATTATGGGTCAAACATTTACGATAGTAGTGTCGGTCAACATAAATTGATGCGTGTGGCTCATGACTTAGCACTAAAGTATTCCTACAGTAGCGAGTGCATTAAGTGCCTTTAAGTCATAAGCTTTGTAAACAATATTATTAAAATGAGCGTTGCATTTAAAAATCCTAGCATCTGTGAGGTAGGCCTACTTTGTTTTAGCAACAAATTACAATTGTGTTTACACACGACGACGCTAATTTGGTCAATCGGACCCAAAAACACCTGGGTGATTTAGGATGGGAAAGAAGTATAATCTTTTGCCATAAAGCCCAGTTTTGACACAGAGCGACTTAAGCCCTGTTCCTACGACGTGTAACGCGCCCTGGCTTGAAGCCACGCGGTGTCGTGCTTCGAGCGCCGGGGCTAAATTAGTGGTGCGAGCACCGAAGCCAAGGGTCTACTCAATGAAGCAGAAGTGACGAGGTTAACACGAGCCATTGTGGTAGGGCTTATCCTAACTCCGCGCATTGGTCACTTCGGGTTCCCCGCGGCAAATGTCCAAGTTCGGAGAGCCAGCTGTTATGTTAGGTTAATAGCAAACGTTTATGCTATTTAATCTATAAGTATAAAAGAGGATGTTGGTATATTTGGCAGTGATAAACTCAGACACCGCTGGACCGATGGCCACGAAACTTGGTACATACGTGTAGAATTTCATGGAGTAGGTTTATACACCATCAATTTCGTGATCCGTCCAATCGGCTCCGCCCCAGTGGCTCTTAAGTTTCCCATGTTAACCTTATGAGAAATGGAATTAATGAATCTTAACAGCTGTTTCAATTAAACAAGTTGGCTCTGTTCTGTGATGTTCAATAGCATTAAAGTTACAAGGATTACCAACAGGGTGCAGCACTATTATTTCTTTTACATTTATGACAACAGCTAATTTGCAACCAAAAGGTGAGTGAGCGTAGCGAACGAACTTCAACCTGAAGGCAAGTGAGCGTAGCGAACGAGCTAACCTGAAGGCAAGTGAGCGCAGCGAACGAGCTCCAACCTAAAAGTGAGTGAGCGTAGCGAACGAACTTCAACCAGGATGTGGTTGAGCCATGCGAACGAGATCGTCTTGAAAATTAAGAGGTTAAACGGGGCAAAGCCCGCGGGTTACAGCTAGTTGGGTATAAAAACGCTCTAAAAACGTTAAGTTTTAAAAAAGGTTTTAAAAGCTTGCATATACTGACACAATTCATCCACAACACGGATAATTTGATGATTAAAGTGTACAGTATACTTTATTAGCGCTGTCAAATATGTCACAACGTAGCAGGTAGTCTCCGCGGCGCTCACGCCACCCGGCGCTTGGACCACAAGGCGCTCATGCCACGTAACCCGAGCCACACGCCGTAGGTACCGTGGGGCCTTGTTGGCGTGGCTTGACCAGGCTTGCCCCTTCCCATAAATTGGCGGTACACACACGAGCATCAAAGGCACGAGCGCATAGCGTGAGCCGGCACAAAAGCCATTCCAACAAAGGCGCGGGGTCGCCCAGCCGTGAAAAAATTCAGTTGCCATGTGCCAACTTCATCGGATCACTGTCTTCTGTGTTTTTTTTTGTTAATTTAGTGAATATGGAGTGGAGGAATGGCTTGTTGTGATATTTTATATTCAATTATTTGTCTGCTGTTTAATTGTTACTGGCCCGATTGGACCAAATATATATTAAAATCAAAATTGACTATTGCCATTCGACAAAAATTCTCAAACATTCTTGACGGCTCTTTTGTTAAATCCACCAGCATGTCACTGTCATGGTATATAAAATAAAAATAAAACAAATATAGAAACTGCGATTTCTTATGCTTTAGATCTGCAAGGGAATGAATGGCTCATGAGGGATCGGCTGTTTTGTCTCCCAACCCACGCCACGCGCCGTGAGCCACCCGGGCGTGTATCACACACAAGCTTGGTAGCTCCACCTGCGCCTCAAACCACATGCGTCATGGGAACGAGGCTTTAAATCCCTTCCCAGCATTGGGAAGACGTGGCTTGCTACGTAATAATGTAAATCAGCTCCCTTGTTAAAAAATATATACATTTTACTCACTTGCTAGAATTTCTCAACCTTCTTGTTTTAGCCTGGACAAGCCATCGTGCTATCACTTGGTCCACTTCTTTTACCGTAGCCTCTTTAAGTTGGAGTTTTACTAAGTCTGGAATTACAAAATAACCATCAGACATCATATTGTGCCAGTGTAACTTTTAGAATTAATCAGGGTGACTCACCTGTATACGTAAAGAGGAGTAACAGTTTTCAAGATAGATATGTTCCTCTCTACTTCCAGACAACCAATTTTCTAAAAAAAATAATCGGATGAGTCATCTTCTGCATCAACATCGCTGTCACAAGAAAGCTGTAATTTTCAAAATTCCTATGAATCTTACTTGTACGTAAATGTGAGTGAGCCGTAAACAACAACACAGTCGAAGTCGACGTGATCAGCTGTTAAGTTTTTGTTGTAATACTTTGTCAAATTGTGTATTTGTATTTTATCATTGTGGATTTGAATAATACTAAATACAACATGTTTAGTGAAAGATGACCACACCAAAAAGTCAATAGACACAATTAACCATATCTCGAGAACAATTCAAACGGCAATTTTATAAAAGGCCTAATAGTTACAAAGATGATTAAAAATAAATTTTGGTTTTACCATCCTAGATTTAAATATCACGTTTATTATTAGCCTACAAAACCTTAATCACAATAACAACACACCAAACAATCTCCTCGCGCCAATAAATTGTAAATGGAAAAGAGTATACTCACTGAGAACTGCTTTGCAGAGAGCAAGTTGCTTGAACGAACTTTTCTTTCTCCCTAACAGGCTGTAACGTTCTGCAACATCATTCGTCATTATCCTTTTAAGGACTCTGGCCGTTGTGTTTAGAATACTGTTCCCTCCAACAGATCGTAACATAGCCACCTAAAAATTGAAAAATCAAATGTAGGCTACATAATAAAAAAGTTAGTAAAATAAGTGACAGTAGTTTTATATTTTCAAAGCAATGATTGAAAAAGTCAACCAATCAACTGCAAGGTAACTTCAAGTCAGGCCGATCGCATGGCTGTACCGGTATAGGGATGGATAAATATTTAACTGGATGTATAAGTTAGCTTTTAAAGACCTAAGACCATGATGACTGTTGATATTTGAACTATAATTGTGTCTATCAACTCTAAAGACAATCAAATATTGAGTTGGATGGACAAAGCGGAGGAAAGTGAGTGTTAAGTGTGATGTGTATTAAGTTACAATAAAAGTATAAAATTATTACCGTATTAAAATCAGAGGTTTACTTTTCTTAACCTCATTTATTTATTTAGCCTATTTTTTTATAATTCTTTTATGTATGGTTTTTACATAGCTTAATTCCTTATAAGACCAGGTAAAAGAAGATTATTAAGTTAAAAAACATATCATTGACCGGTTGTTTGAGGTCATATAAGTTAGGTAACAAACATTTCATTCAATTGTTCTATTGATCACCTTACCGGTACTACCTACATTATTGTTTTTTATTGTTATTGTTAACATAAAAGTGTTTAACTTAGCCTATGCCAAGTTTTGTAGAAAGTAAAAAAAATATCCCTTTAAAAGCTAACCTACCTTCTCAAATAAAATAAAGTAGGCTAGGTATGAGGCGCGTTAAGTACAGTAGCCTAGTTGACTTGACTGCCGACATCCTAGAAGTACAACTTAACCTAGGCCACAACAACTTTTAATTGTGAAGTAAAACTCCCCCTCCAGGGCAAGCGCCCCTCGAAAGTTATGGGTAGGCTAGGCTTTCCCTGCTAGAACAGCAGCTTCCAAATGGAATAATTTATTCCAGGGATTAAAGCTCAGAAGTGGATTTTGACCATCCTAGGCTAATAGACCTACGCAGCTGTGGTCAGTTGCAAAAAAACTTTTTAAGTAGGCCTAAGGCAAAATTAAACCTCATTGTGTTAAACGCAAGGTTACAAAATCTCCTGTGGTCCTTATGCAGAACAGTGTTGTTGGGCCTAATGATTTTGGGTGATTGAAGTGTCAATTCTATTAATTTACTTAGTAATTTACCTGTAGATTATGAATAAGTTATGACCTTTATTTTTGTCGGTGACAATTAAAAATTACAAAAAAATCTCAAATAACCACGACATCTGTATAGGTACACGGACCACTACCATCTGAATCAGTTGATTAAATGTCTGTCAACTATCAGTTAATTATTTAACTCTAATCTACTTTAGTCTCCATAGAAGTCTATATCACCTAACTATTTAAAGAAGAAACAACAACAACTTAGCATTTTAACACGTTTGCCGCGGCCCATCAAATAGCAGGCGTAGCTCCAGTGCGGTGCATCCCGCAGCATCGAACAAACCTGATTGTCAGGTGATTGGCTTTCATATTTTGGTATGACGAATGTCAAATAACGCATGGTAATATATTGTTTCATGACAAGAGTCGACATAGTTTGCTAAACACCCACAGTAGATGCCTTATTTAACAATAAAACACACTAATATACCACAAAATTACAGTTAACAAACGTAATGAGTGAGTCAAAATCCTCCAGGTATAGTTTCGGAACAAGTAACGATAATTACAAACGGATTGCACCACAAAACTACCACTGTCATACACGAATCACGGACAAAAATACTCCGACCTACACTGGAGTGCGGCTGCACTTAAACCGAATAAGTTTGGCGGGTTCACACTACCGCCCGGGCGGTACGCCACAGCGTGGCGGAGCGCGGACCTACCGCCCGGGCGGTAACATGCACGCAATGTGTTAAGCACGTTTAAGTTAAGTTAGTTAAAAGCCATATTACCTAGGTCCTATTTCACTGCATCAAATTAAAATGAATAAAGTTGCGTTTAAAGTTTTTCTAATGTGTTTTATGCAAAACTAATTTCCTGCACGTAGGCTAGCATATACCGGTGCTCACTCATGCTCTATGTTGTCGTTAGGGATATAAATTTTAAAGTTAGGTAGGCTATTTATTTTATTTGAGTAGCTTTTCCTATACAGCGCTCTACGGCTCAGGTTAGATCTACATTTTTTATAACTTATTCTACTTAACTTTTGGCTAGTAGCCTATTGAGGGTGTTGGTCAGAATTCAAAACAGTGTTGACCCATATAGCACAGTTAGTATTCGTTATGTATATGTTACATAACAATGTAACTTAAAAGATACGTATAACAAAATATATACCTGATTGGTATCATAAATGTATCTTCAGTGTCAGTTGGCGTACATACTGTTATAAGTTCACAATTACGCGTTTTGTCTAATCGTCTAACTACAGAAAAGAGAAGATAAACGGCAGAACGCCAGAGCGGCCATATTTACCTGCGACTCGTAGTAGACTGACTCCTCCGTCTTGTCGTCCCATGGAGGGGTATTGAATCTTGGACTTTGTCCTTGCCCCTTTTGAATATGCTATTGTTTATGCGCCTCCTCCGGCGTGCCAATATAACAAAACATGTCTCTTCTGACATAAGAATTTACTTTATATATAAAACACATTACTGTCTTTACTTAGGCTATAATAACTCCTCCCAACAAAATAAGTTAAAAAAAATAAACTTCAAACTGTTCGTTATGTAAATAAACTCAAAAATTAATGACTTCTTTTGGGAGGTACTTTTCTTGTTTTTACAAGTCCAACTTCCTGGGTACGCGTCGTTCTCGCTGAGAACGGCGTAGTGTCACAGACGGAGAATTAGGCTTTCTTATTTCCGGGTTAGGCCTATCTGCTTCAAGTTCTTGAGATTGATTTTCCTTTGATTTAATGTTGGGTGTAATAGGCCTATGCGGTGTCTTCGCTGGGCTTGGTGTAGGTGTTTTCATTGGGCTAGGTGCAGTTGCTTCCATAGGTAAAACAGGTGGCATTGGTAGTACAAGATTTTCCTCATCTGGAATGCACTGATTTGTGCGTAGGTGGTCTGCATGCACAAAACGATTCCTCCCATCGACTTTGACAACGTATGTGACTGGGCTATTAACCTTAGTGATAATACCAGGCAACCATTTGAGTTTTTCTTGCCTAACGCTCCTTACAAATACACTCTCGCCCTCACAAAAAGAACGGAATGTTCCCCTCCTTTCATTTGCATTTTTCTCAATCTTTTCATATTTAGCAGATACGCTCTTACTCAAATGAGGCTTTAGCAAGTCAAGGTGATTTTTAGGTTTAAACCCAAGCACAATTTCAGCTGGCGAAACACCAGTGGTGGAATGAGGAGTATTCCTATACACAAAAAGGAAGTTGTCGATTCGATGTTGTAGAGAACGAGTTGTTCCTGATTTTTCGTCCTGCAACAGCTGTCTCAAGAATGTGTTCTTGGTTGTTTGCACAGCTCGCTCCGCCAATCCATTAGAGGAAGGATGGTATGGTGGGGATACAACATGAGTGATTCCATTTGTTCTTAAAAAGTCGTTAAACTCCTTAGAAGTAAGTTGAGGTCCACCGTCAGTAACAACTGTTGAAGGCAGTCCGTATGCCGCAAAACATGACCTGAGTTTCTCAATTGTTTTACTAGATGTTGTTGAACTCATATGGAATACTTCGAGCCATTTTGAGTGGCTGTCAACAATGATCAAAAACTCCTTATTTTGAAAGGTAGCAAAGTCAAGATGGAGTCGCTGCCAGGGATGCTTAGGCCATGACCAATGTTGTAATGGGGCCAGAGGTATTGAGTTCCGAGTAGATTGACAAACAGTGCAGGTTTTAACAAGTTCTTCAAGATCTCGGTCTAAATTTGGCCACCATACATAGCTGCGTGCCAAATTTTTAATGCGGGATACACCTGGATGTTCTGTATGTAAAAGATTTAATATTTCCTTCCGATATGGTTCAGGGATAATGACTCTTCGTCCCCATAGAAGACACTCTTGATCTACAGACAGCTCCATAGCTCGGGAAAAATATGGTTTTAGGCTATCTTCGGCCACCTTATTAGGCCACCCATTCAAAGTGAAGTCTAAAACTTTGGACAAAATCGGGTCATAGCGTGTAGCTATGCTGATCTCCTTGTGGGTTATGGGTAACTCAGAAGTTACAGAGAAGAATGAGATGTTGTCACCGCAATTAGATTCATCTGTACAAGGCAAACGGGACAGAGCATCAGCATTCGAAACATTGGTACCCTTACGGTACTCTATATCATACTCGTAGGCTGAAAGAATAATTGCCCATCTTTGAATCCTAGCCGCAGCTAAAGTAGGTATTCCCCTATTAGGCCCCAGCAGAAACGCTAAAGGCTTATGATCGGTAGCCAGAAGGAAACGTTTACCGTACAAAAATACATGAAACTTCTTCACAGCGAAGACTAAGGCGAGCGCTTCTTTTTCCAGTTGTGAATATTTCATTTCACATGGGGTCAAGGTTCGAGAACCAAATGCTATTGGCCTCTCAGAGCCATCCTGCATGCGGTGGGCAACAACGGCGCCTACGCCATAAGGACTTGCATCAGCCGTCACAATGATTTCTAATTTAGGGTCAAAGGGGATAAGTACAGTACTCTCAAGCAAAAGATTCTTGCTTTTGATAAACACTTCCTCACACTTCTTCGTCCACTCCCATCTGGCACTCTTATTTATTAACTGATATAACGGGTGTAGCAAGGTCGACAGATTTGGCAGAAATTTACCGTAGTAATTCAAAAGGCCTAGATATGATCTTAACTGGGTAACATTTTTGGGCTGAGGAGTCTTGGTGATAGTTTCCGTTAACTCTTCACTTGGATGGATACCATTAGCATCTAGCCTATGTCCAAGAAATGTCAAACTATTCTTGAAGAATTCGCTCTTAGCGCCATTAATTTTAACACCGTATTGCATAAGTCTATTTAGTACTTGATCAACATATTTGTACATCTCCAAATGATTGCTAGCTACAATCAAAATGTCATCTAAATAACAAAAAACATTGTTTAGACCTGCTAATACTTGGTCCATAGTTGATTGGAAGATAGCGCCAGCGCTAGTGATTCCAAACGGTAATCTTCTATATCTATAGAGACCTTTACTGGTATTGATTGTTAGAAGTTCCTGAGAACTTTCACTGACACAAATTTGGTTATATGCCGCAGACAAGTCCAGTTTAGTAAAAACCTTAGAACCCGAAATACTCGAGAAAATCTCTTCCGGTGTTGGCAACGGGTAATGGTCCGTGCGCAAACGCGGGTTGATTGTAGTCTTGTAGTCCCCACAAATACGAATTTTGCCATTCGGCTTTGGTACTACAACGATCGGGGTAGCCCATACTGACTTAGTTACGGGATATATTATGTCATTCTTAACTAAATTCTGGAGTTCACTTTCTACCGCACCCTTTAAGGCATAGGGTACAGTTCTTGATTTACAAAACACGGGATTAGAATTTTCCTTCAATACCAAATCGACTGTTACATCTTTGATAGTTCCAATTTTATCTTCAAAAACAGAAGAATATTTTGATTTCAGCTCATTAATCCTAGTAGTGATTGAAACAGTCTTACCGTTGTCGAGGATCGCTCCGCAGTCCAACTTGTTTCCTTGTCCCACTTTGGTCCAGTCAAGTTTAATTACTTCGAGCCAATTCCGACCCATTAGTGTAGGTTGGTTAGGCACATTATTTCGTACAACAATCATAGGTAATTTGTGAACGCTGCTGCCAGAGCGTACGCTTGCCTGAAACTCACCGATAATATTAATATTATGGCCTGTATAAGTTTTCAATGTGATACTGCTTTTATTTAATTTCGGACTTGAGTTACCAAAAATTGTAGAAAATACATCCTGGGGCATGACTGACACGACAGCCCCTGTGTCAATAGTCATTTTCACTGGAACATTATTAATTTCTACCTCAGCGGTAAAACTTTTGGGTTTAGGCCCATCATTGGCATAGGCAATAGTAAATAGGCCCAAGTCGAGATCATCGACTCTGTTTCCGATGTCCTCAACATCGTCACAAAAATTTATTTTACCCTTAGGTTTACTTTGAGAGTTACCAGTACCTTGTCTACATACATTAGCCAAATGGCCTATTCTATTACATTTATTACACTTGTAATTTTTATAGGGACAATTATAACCATGCACTCTACCGCAACGGTAGCATTCTTTCCTAAACCCGACCTTCCCACCATTGGGATTTGGTCTGCCTTGATTGAATTTGTTTTGGCTAGGCCTAAAAGTTGACTTATTACCATATCTTACAGCGTTTACATCACTATCAATATTACTTATGTTACGATCTGCGTAACCATGGGGGTGCAGTTGACGCACACTACGACTAGCATCCTCCAACACCAATGCCATTTCTAACGCTTTTTTAAAGTCTAGGTTACTACCTTCTGACAAAAGTTTTCCCTGAATTTCATCGGACCTAAGTCCGCACAAAAATTTATCACGTAGGGCATCATCGAGAAAATCCTTAAAATCACACGTTGACGCAAGTTTCTTAAGTTGCACCGCAAATTCTGAGATAGGCTCACCTTCTTTTTGACTTCGCTTGTTAAACAGAAATCTTTCATAGGTTATGTTTTTCTTAGGTGTGTAGTGGGTCGTAAGTACACCAACTACTTCAGCGTAAGATTTATCGGCAGGCTTATTTGGTACCAACAAATTTTTAAGAACTGAGTATAACTCAGGGCCCATGACGGCAATGAACAAAGATAGTTTAACATTTTCTTCAGTGATCTTATTAACAGAAAAAAATTGGTCCAGCCTTTCAACATAATTATCAAAAGTTTCTACGTCTTTGTTAAACTCACTAATTTTTCCTAAGATTTGCTTAGAAGCCATGATTGTTCAAACATGAAAGCCTAGGCCTAGTCACTTGTGAACTGATAATGTTTAGCTTAGCCTATTGGAACAAACTTACATCAGATGTCGGTGATATTGTTGTTAGGCCTACTATCAATAATTTCAGTCTTCAGTTCCTTTTCCTTGAAATAAAAGTCGAAAACGAAAATTTCCAATGTGACCAGAACATGTGATTGCGTAACAGGTTTCAAAGTGCAAGTTTCCTGTACGGTCCGGATTGCTTCTTCTTACACAAGTTTAATATTACAATTCTTGATTTTCTTCCAATATTTAGTATTGCACACTCTTCTTTATAAATAAACTCACTTTCCTAAACGTTTACTTTAGTTAAACCGCTTTTAATTTTCCTCGTCGCCATTTGTTATAAGTTCACAATTACGCGTTTTGTCTAATCGTCTAACTACAGAAAAGAGAAGATAAACGGCAGAACGCCAGAGCGGCCATATTTACCTGCGACTCGTAGTAGACTGACTCCTCCGTCTTGTCGTCCCATGGAGGGGTATTGAATCTTGGACTTTGTCCTTGCCCCTTTTGAATATGCTATTGTTTATGCGCCTCCTCCGGCGTGCCAATATAACAAAACATGTCTCTTCTGACATAAGAATTTACTTTATATATAAAACACATTACTGTCTTTACTTAGGCTATAATACATACTTTTTGCAACCAATTTGGAAGGTAAAAAGAAGTATATTTTGCAGCCTACCCATAATTCTTTGCGAATGCTTTCGCGCATGCGCTGTTCGGCGTAGTGAACAGAACAACAGTTTGCTTGCTTTCTGCCATTTTGTCTTAATTTAATTTATTCTTACTTAGCTGATCCAAGAGTTCTTCACAGTTTAAAATGTTTTGTGTGCTGTTTGTTTGTGTCATTGTGTGTGCTGAGCTAGAGATAGAGTGTTTGGTTAGTGTTTAAAACAGTTATCAAGACTATACTACGAAAACACACCAAATTTTTGGTAAGTAGCCTAATAAGTCAAGTTGTATTACCGTAGGCTAATAACCATGTTCCCCGTAATCATTCTGAAACCCTACCCTTACTAAGTTAGACCCTATTATTATAGTGTAGCCTAAATTCCATTATTATTGTTGTTTAGCTTTGGCTACATTTAGGTTAGGCTAGGATTAGGACTAGGCATCTAACTTAGTTGATGTTAATTTTACCTACTTTTGTGCCTTGATAACTAGGCCTAGGCTATACCCTAGCTTTTGTGACACGGGAGTTAACCTAGCCTAGGTGAGGTAATTCTGCAGAACAGTTGTAATGATTTTGAGTGTTAATTCTAATAGCATTTTACGTGTAGACTACGAATAAGTTTATGACGTTCATTTTTGTCTGTGACAACGATAAGTAGGCCTACTCCGGAAACAAGTTTAAAAAATAGTAAATAAAAATTTCACTGACTTTTGGCCGAGTCCATGTCAACACAAGTAACTTAGGCCTAACTTAGGCTACTTACTTGTTGGAGGGGAGGAAGGTATACGTAGAGCAAAATGGCATCACATAGGCTTACAAACGGTGATTAACTTACATTGTAAACATAACGTCGACAGAAGTTTATTGTGCTCTTACCGTGTCAATCAACAAATATCCAAACACAGAAACCTTGCCCAAAATGGTATCTAGGTTAATATGCATTTTAGGGTTTGCACGCGATTTTTGAAATTATTTTTTTCATTCTACTCGAAATTTAACGCTGATTCCGAAAATGACGTTCTTTTTCCGCGGAAAACGACCATAACGCGGAAAAACGACCAAAACGACCAAAATATTATTTTAACAAAACACGTCATGTGGGTACTCAAATTAACCGGAATATTTAGCAGATCACGACTATGGAAGGATTTTTTGGATCCGAGGTCAAATAAGCGAGATATTCACGAAAACGTGATACTACCAGCAATAACTCCAACTCACTAGGGGACAGGTGGGAATTCGGGGTTTTGGGTGGGGGAGACATCTAACGTGGTTTATCGTTGTAATTTAATGTGTAAAAAATAATGGGTAATTAGTCGGGAGAATTATGGGAGATATGCTTGAAATTGGGAAATTTTTCAATACCAACCTGGGTCATTCCATATGAAATCAACCAATAAAAAATTATTTTCAACCTGACCATCTTAGATTTTGATGAAATTTTGCATACTTGTAGTATTTTGAGTCCTGTATCCAAATATGCTTTTTTTAAAAATCTATCTTTTATAGTTTTTATGATATAAATATTTGAAAATGGTAAAAATTGGCGTTTTTTACGGTGCGCGCAAATCTAAAATGTTGTCTAGGATGAGTTCTATTAATCCTATGAAGTTGTACAATGGCTCATTTTAAAGATGATTCAAATGCCTTTAATCTGATACCAAACTCAACCTACTTTGGTAAAAATTAATTTTTGTTGAAAATTTCAAAATATGTTTTTGAAAAAAAATTTAAGATAGTGTTTTTTGAAAAATTTGAAAATTACATATGTTAAAGAATGTAATCTAGTAAGTACATTATAAAAATTTCAAAATGGGATGATAATGGGATCAGCAGTTATGATAAAAATACTTGACTATGGTTCACTGTTTCCAAGCATTTCGGCGCATACAGCGTGTAAGTACTAACCTAAATGTATCATTAAATAAGAGTCTATTAATTATATGATTAAAATTAAAAATATCTGCCTATATTTGAATTATGTATGTCATATTTTGCTATATATAAACTAAATCTAGCAAGTAAACAACATTATTCAAGTTAACAGAGTTTCCGTCAACTTTTGAACAAATATGGACCAATGGGTTTTGGTTCAGGTTCCTCAGTCTTTTCCAGTTAGTTGTGTTGCAACGATTTACTGTAATCAATCTTTAAGTCTGCCTTTTCACTAGGCTGGAGACTCAAGTCAGCCACTAGATCTGTGCAAAATCACATTGTGAAGCACTTTACGTTTACACTATCAGGTTGCAGCGACCCATCTCTGCTGTAGCGACTCGGTCTTGAGACAAGAGGAAAGACTGACAAACATAAGTTAGACCTGTGTACCTGTCAAACAAATTACAACTTCTCAAGACCGGGTCGCTACTGCCGAGGTGGGTCGCTCCGACCTGATAGTGTAAACGTAAAGTGCTTCACAATGTGATTTTGCACAGATCTAGTGGCTGACTAGTGTCTCCAGCCTAGTGAAAAGGCAGACTTAAAGATTAATTACAGTAAATCGTTGCAACACAACTGGAAAATACTGAGGAACCTGAGCCAAAACCCATAGGTCCATGTTTGTCTGTCTTTCCTCTCGTAACAAGAGAGAGAGACAAACAAGCAAATTGATAATTTTGTCACACAATATACTGTGATCAATCTATTTAAATCCTGTAGTAACCTTATTATTGATACATAGATAATTAATATTCCATGATAGCCTAATTATTTAGTTTTGGGGAAATGTCTGCTCATAAGTATAAATAATGTATTCTCACTTTAACAATTAAAATTTTTTTAGTGAAAACTGATTTGTGGATTTAAATACCACAAACCACATACCACATTTTTGTATAACTTCTATTTTGATATGTCAAAAATTAAAAAAAAGTTACGGAGAATTTTCAAAATGTCCGTCCGGTTACTTTTTAACTTTGCAAGGGTATTTTTTAAATATCATAGAAGTCAAATAAAGGAATTGGATTATGGCTGCTAATAATAACTAAAGCTCAAAACATCTGTTTTCATTAGCAAAATCATTTAAAAAAATAACACTTAAAACTTAAAACCCAAGTATTTTTTTTTCATGTCCGGGAAATTTTGCTCCAGAACTAAGGGTCGCGACGCCATAAGTAAAGGCCAGCAAATTGGGTAATTTTTTCTTTCTTTTTTTTACAGTTATTACTGCTTATAAAGTAATCAAAGCAGGTATTTTCTTAATCCCAGATAAATGGGCTATTCAATTATGGTTTTAAGTCATAAATCATAAACTTACTGGGTTTGCTGTAGACATGGAAGTTTGGACGACTTTTTTTACTAAAAAATTTCAGTGAAAAAAAAGTATTTTTAATTTTTTGCAGAACCATAGTATGCACTATTAAATATTTTTTTAAGTAGAGTATTTATCTGGGAATAGAAAATTATAACAAACATTATCATTTAAAGATAAAATTAATATGAAAAAAAATAAAATATGAAAAGTGGAAAGTTTGTTCAAAGTAGCCCCCAT